TAATATATATATATAGTGTGTGTGTGTGTGTGTGTGTGTGTGTGTGTGTGTGTGTGTGTGTGTGTGTGTGTGTGTGTGTGTGTGTGTGTGTGTGTGTGTGTATTCACTTGTTGACCTTCTCATGGCATCATATGTCTCGTGCCTTCCCATCCCAGTTACCTCTTCTAATCCGATCCTTACGTTCTCTTTCTGTTTGTTTACCCTAACCCAGTCCACCGACTTTGCCGGGTTTTTGGACCGCATTCTGTCCCTATTTAACGACAACCGCAAACTCCTCGCACAACGGGGTTCGCTGATTGTGTGCCAACTGTGCAACATGCTGTCACCCCTAAGGGTATGTCTCATGGGTGGTCTCTGCCCATCTCGTATCTAATGATTAACATTAGTTAAATTTCGGTACATATAACACTGAATGTGTAGTGACTATAGCTGTGTTCATGCTTGTTCTCGTATCAGTTGTTTAGTCTCTGGCCATTTCGTATCTATTGATTACCGTTGGTTAAAGTTCGGTACATTTGACACTGAATGTGTAGACTATAACTGTGTTCATGCATGTTCTCGTATCAGTTGTTTAGTCTCTGGCCATTTCGTATCTATTGATCGCCGTTGGTTAAAGTTCGGTACATTTGACACTGAATGTGTAGACTATAGCTGTGTTCATGCTTGTTCTCGTATCAGCTGTTTAGTCTCTGCGCACTGTGTTACTGTGTGGTTGTACGTCTGTGTACTTAGCTCATGGCGTGTTACCATAAACGCGTGTGTGTTACTAGAGGTTACCTACCTGAATAAAACCCTAAATCCTAAAACCCTACAAATAGGCTTCCCCTTACCATGTCTGATCCTTCACCACTGTCTCCATCCCCGTGCACCAGATATTCTACACCATGGCGGACATCCTACTCAACTACGAAGACCTGGAGTTCGCAGAGCATATGGTGTTCGTCCTGAACTCCATTTTACTCACCAGTGTGGAGTGCCGTGAGTTGCGCACACGACTGAAAGATCAGCACCTAAAGGTATGCGGCTGCTATAACCTTGGTGGGACAGTTTCAGGGTACGGTGTTTTTGGGTTCAGCGTTGGATAGTTTCAGTAGCTGTCGACGACAGACAATTGCACCGTCAGTATGTATATGTATATATATTATATATTATATATGTATATATATATATATATATTGTGTATATCTATATATATATAT